TAGTTAGTTGGTCTATGTGGCCCTGGTCGGAGTCTGTGGCGTGAGCGTTGCTAACGCACTTCGTAATGCCGCTATACCGGGTTCGATCCAAGCTACGGACGGTTTGTCTTGGGTTGGTTTCGACAGTGGTACTGACTGCTGACCATTGAGTAAGCAGTGGCACACTAATGAAAGTAAAACTTGCCTAGAAAAGCCACAATAGCCAACAAATGCTGGAGTTGGCTCTGCAACGTCCTGTGATGGATGAGGATACGCAACTAATTCTTTTGTGGCCCTGAAGCTAACTTTCCTTGAGTGATAGGCGCCGTTCCTATCATCTGCTTCATAGTACTGTTTTCTCACTGGGTCTTATTTCTTTGTGGGTTTCATGGCCCCATTTTGGGAAAGAGGGTTGGGGAAGAGAATAGACCTCCTGCATTTAACAAGCATGTCGTAAAAGGCGACTAATTGGGAGATTACTGAAGTCCTAAATTTTGAACCGAAAGGCGCAGATAACAGCCTGGATGTAAACCAAAACACTATGTACTGACATTCTTTTAAGAACAAACACCGAAAAATGAGAACTCAGTCTCCTGTGATAATATCGTCAGCTTTTCTAAGGCGTCCCATCTAATAAGTGTTGGATTTTACCTATGAGATTTGTTTTTAAATTAATGTCCAAGCTTGTCATTGATAGATGCTGGCCTGCTGATCCGAGGTTTTTGGTTCAAATCCGGACGGTGGTGGACCTTTTTTTTTTTTTTCAAACATGACCTTGGCTAACAGTTCAACCCAACCATAAATGGGTGCCGGGTAAAAATTCATTGGAAGTAAATGAGGTAGGTGTGATGCCGACCACATCTCCCACTAAGTGTCGACTGGTCTGTAAAATACAGGTCCGGCCCTAAATGCGCCAAACGCCTGAAGGTGGGAAAAAGGGTCTTTCTACCCCACTTGTCACTGATTTTTTTAGGTTTTTTTTTTAGGTTTTTGAACAACGGATCAACATCATGGCCCTTTTGGCTAAGATCAAAGTGTAGCCTCTACTGCACTTGGTCTGGCCAGAAGCGCCGGGATCGGTCCCGAACTCATGGGAGTAATTATCACGGCATGAGCCATTCAAACTCAACGCGGAGTGGTTTCCCCGTGAGAAGAGACTGGGCCCGGCGAAAAACAAAAGGTTTTAACTTGTCACTGATAGCCTAGTATTAACTTGGAAAATGGGAAATAACGGGGTATTGAGCAATTCATGCATTACATTTATACATAATTTATCAGTTTATTTTAGTTATAAATAAAAATAATTAAAATTAAAATAAATAAACAAATTAAATTTTTTTGAAATTAAAAAATAAAGTTAAAATTAAAATAATAACTTATGAATCTATGGAATGACCGTTTATCCCCACAGATCGAATGTGAAACCTTGGAAGCAGGTTATAGATTTTTGTTCTTCTATGCGTTCACTGGCTTTAAACTGCGGTGGAAATGTCTGGTTGTTCGTCCACTTTTGGACATTAGTCTTGTTTCAGAACTTGAGTTGTTCACGCACATCCCATTTACAGATCTGGCCTATTTGTATGCAGACTGTTGATTCTTCGCCTCAAGCAGATGCTTCTGCCTGCGAAGGGTTAGTGGACTGAGCTTGGGAGCAGTCGGCAGATAGTTGTTTGTCACGGTCTCAGGTTCTCTCAAGGAAGCAGGCGATCTGACAGTAGTGTTAACTCTTTAAAGACGACTAGGTCGATCTATCAGCCAAACAGCAAAGTGCCCAAAAAGACGACTGGGCCGATCTGTTGGTCTGGTAACATAAGCCTTGAGAATGGCTGGCTGTTCTTCATACTAGATAATCAAATTGCTTCGCGCATTTCCTGCGCATGTGGGCTGTTCAATGGCAGCTTTCGTGACAGTTTGGCGTTCTTCAAATGTACATAGTTTTTTTTTTTTTTTTGGGGGGTGTTATCTGTGCCCAACAGTGGTGAAAAGGACTGTTGCGTCATAGTATGCAAATAAGGTAGGAAGCAGGAAAATGAGTAGAACCGGGTGCCAGAAGTCTCTGGAGGGATAACATGGACCTTGCTTCTCAAAACACAAGTGTTAGGACGTATTCAGGCTTCATTCATAGGAAAATTTAGCCAGATTGTTCAGTTTAGTTATTTTCGTCCCAGGTAATTAAAAAATACATGCATAAAAACGCAAATTTGATAGCCAACTTTAGTAGTTAGAATTCGACGTTTGTAGCTTAGCTGTTGCGAACGCGCTTCGTAATGCCTATGTGACGGGTTCGATCCCAGCTGCGGACAATTTGTCTTGCGTTGGTTTCGACAGAGCTGACTGTACAGTGGCAATGGCAAACTACTTACTGAACGTAAGAATTTGCCTAGAAAAAAAAAACCCACAAAAGCCAAAATATGCTTGAGCTGGGTCTGCAACGTCCTGTAAAGGATACACAACTAACTAACTTGAATAAATGTTGCTATGTCAGTATGATTCATATATATATATATATATATATTGGGTTAGTTCATTCAATTTCCTACATACACACACACACACACACACACACACATATATATATATATATATATAGTTTTTGTTAATTAAAGGCTTTATTTGTGTGTGTGTGTGTGTGTGTGTGTGTGTGTGTGTGTAAACTAAGAGAATCCCCTCGTCAAGGGTCCGTCTTCTTTGCACTGAAGCTCCAAAAGGGCTTTGTCTCCACAAGGTTAATTGCTGCTATCATCCACACGTCAAGTCGCTACCAAGGAGGAAAGCAGTAGCAGACTACTTTCTTCTCAGATATCTTCTTGATTTCGTTAGCTCAGTTTCAGATCAGACCTGATCCTAGATTCTAGTCATTGTTTGTGATGGCATATCATGAAACCTTTCTTCCCACCTCCAGGCTCCTCGACACGGCACATGATGATAATGTATTTGAGTGAAATAACCTGATGAAAGTGTTGTTTCTGAAACATCGATAGATTCACTTTGAAATGAACCAAAAACGTAGACTTGAAGTTACGCTTTCAACTATCTTGAAATGATTCTGATTCAACTTGGAATGAGTCGATGCTTCACTTGGAATGAAGCGTGGTTTGCACCTTGGAAAGAACCTTGGCTTACACCGACTTTAACATCTAGGGTTGACAACACAAACGCCGCTCAGCTTCTTGGTACATTCTGTCAGTTTATTCATTCACATATGTTCCTCAAGTTCCCACAATTAAATATACTTCTCTCACTCACGACATACTCAATTACTCGTCATCCGCACAACATTGGAACTGCATCTCTGTTTCTATAACCGTCTACTCTGACTTCTCATGATCGACTGACCACGAGGTTAGCTCGGGCTTCCCCTCGCTTACTCCACCGGCCACAAGTATCTCGTGCCGTCACTTGTAGCGCGGACTTCCTGCTTGCCACAATGTATTTCGTGGAGACCATGCAAAGCAGGGTTATCACACACTTGTATATTCTTATATGCCAATGTTGTATTTTACCTATTTGAACTTTAAAAAATATATTACACTGTTCTTTCAATAGCCAGACTTTGCACAAACTTCTTCTTCTTCTTCTTCTTCTTCTTCTTCTTCTTCTTCTTCTTCTTCTTCTCTTCTTCTTCTTCTTCTTCTTCTTCTTCTTCTTCTTCGCGTTCGTCAGCTGTAAACTCAGGCGGAAAGTTCTGGTTGTTCATCCACTTCTGGATTGCAGTCCTGTTTCAGAACCTGAGTGTTGAGTGTGCATCCGTTTAACAGATCTGACTCATTCGTATGCCTCTCATGCTGATGCACTCCAACTTTGAAGGAAGCTCCCAATTAGTCGACTCTTACGACATGCTTTTGGGTAGGCAGTGGGTCTATTCTTGTTTTCCCTATAATAGGGCCCCGGAACCCACACGGAGTGCACAAACTTCGTGCTCAAATGTGAAAATTCAGTACTGTGACGACAGTTAAACTTAACTGCCAAATGAGATTACAGTTTGAGAAGGAGATTTATATGCAGTATATGAGACCAAACGTTGGCAGACCTGGATTTTATGACTTACTGTAATCATCGTAATGTTTGAAGTCTACATGCATAACGAATCCTTTGCTCATCTTACCTGCAACAGTCGCGTCATTGGCGTTGGATGTTTCTATTACATATTCTTTTACCTTGATTTGACAGTTGACAACGAACACTTATATGACAGTTCTTTAGTAGATTTGTTTAAAGGTTTTTCAACTTGTAATTTGATAGTGAGGGCTGAAAACTTTTCAACGTAGTCTTCATGGAAGCTGTTCAATTCTTTTCTCGGTTGTTCCTATATTGCTGGAAGTATTATAATAAGGAAATGGGATGCAGTACCTTATGGGATGCAGTACCTTATGGGATGCAGTACCTTATGGGATGCAGTACCTTATGGGATGCAGTACCTTATGGGATGCAGTACCTTATAGAATGCAGTACCTTATGGAATGCAGTACCTTATGGGATGCAGTACCTTATGAGATGCAGTACCTTATGGGATGCAGTACCTTATGGGATGCAGTACCTTATGGGATGCAGTACCTTATAGGATGCAGTACCTTATGGGATGCAGTACCTTATGGGATGCAGTACCTTATGGGATGCAGTACCTTATGGGATGCAGCACCTTATGGGATGCAGCACCTTATGGGATGCAGTACCTTATGGGATGCAGTACCTTATGGGATGCAGTACCTTATGGGATGCAGCACCTTATGGGATGCAGTACCTTATGGAATGCAGTACCTTATGGAATGAAGTACCTTATGGGATGCAGTACCTTATGGGATGCAGTACCTTATGGGATGCAGTACCTTATGGGGTGCAGTACTTTATGGGATGCAGTACCTTATGGGATGCAGTACTTTATTGGATGCAGTACCTTATGGGATGCAGTACTTTATGGGATGCAGTACCTTATGGGATGCAGTACTTTATGGGATGCAGTACCTTATGGGATGCAGTACCTTATGGGATGCAGTACCTTATGGGATGCAGTACCTTATGCGATGCAGTACCTTATGGGATGCAGTACCTTATGGGATGCAGTACTTTATGGGATGCAGTACTTTATGGGATGCAGTACCTTATGGGATGCAGTACCTTATGGGATGCAGTACCTTATGGGATGCAGTTTCTTATGGGATGCAGTACCTTATGGGATGCAGTACCTTATGGGATGCAGTACCTTATGGGATGCAGTACTTTATGGGATGCAGTACCTTATGGGATGCAGTACCTTATGGGATGCAGTACCTTATGGGATGCAGTACCTTATGGGATGCAGTACCTTATGGGATGCAGTACCTTATGGGATGCAGTACTTTATGGGATGCAGTACCTTATGGGATGCAGTACCTTATGGGATGCAGTACCTTATGGGATGCAGTACCCTATGGAATGCAGTACCTTATGGGATGCAGTACCTTATCGGATGCAGTACCTTATGGGATGCAGTACCTTTCTACGTGTCTTCTCGTAAAGCATGTCTGGTCTATTAATTACATTGACAGTTTCAGCTTTCATTCACTCATTGTCATTTTTATACACAGGAATCACACAGGAATCACACAGGAATCACAGTCCATTCCTCTATTCCGTTCTATCCTATGCAGTCACTTTGATATCAGGGATGGAATCCAGTCCAACATGTTTCTATCATCAACTATCAACTAAGGGTCTCTCTTGAAAAGCCTCGTTTCTCCAGTCCCTCTGTTTCTCATTATAGTGCCTGTTTGGTGATTCTCAGTCCATCTTTTGTCTGCATGTGTCCAGTAGAGCGCCATCTTCTCTGTCTTGTATCTATTGATACTAGTAGTTGCCCTGATATTTCTCTTTTTTTTTTTTTAAACTCCTCTTGAATTCTTGCCATTTTATGTTCATTATTTTCATCAGACAATAATTTCAGCTTTGGAAAACGGCTAAATAAATTGCAAGCAGCCATGTTAGGACATAATAGAGATTCATGAACCAGATAATTATTGTTTTTGCTTAACGCCAATCATGTTTGGCAGCGGCTTCTTGGCAGCTCTATCATGTCAACACACCCGATAATTCTCTGCATCTCATTATTATAACTGCATTGGCCTACTCCAGTGTTCTTCAAGATTTTTACACCCACGACTCAACACACACAAAGACATAGGAAATGTTGTTCCACAACCTAACTATCAGCTAACCAAATACAGCGCCACCCCATACCACCATCCTCTCCCCTTTTTTTTCCCCCAGTGTAGATAGTTTATTTTAAATTATATGGCTTTAAATTAGTATTTTCGGCTATCGAGACATCTAATTATGCTCTAAAATTTAAAAATCACATACAAGTGGCTGGAGCATTGTTTCTGATAGCCAGTGTGCTGCAATTACTTAAATGGATTTTGCTGTTTGGTTTATATTACTGACATGGCTAAGAAAGTCTAATCCTTTATACAGCATGTTCTCGATAGCGGTGGCCACTCTGAACTGTGGTGTCCGAAAGCGCCGGTTATACGTGGATTGAGGAGCAACAAGTTCTCTTACGACATCTAAGAAGCTTTGTTTTTTTTCCTTTGTTTTTTTTTTTTTTTTTTTTTTTTTTTTTTTTTGTTAATTAGCTGTTCGAAGAGAAACTGGATAAGAAGCTTGAAGCAGCGACATATCACTGATCGTTTCTTGACTTCTCACTGATCGTTTCTTGTCTGTCCTAACGTTTTAGCTAGTGGCGTTATTTTTGAGGGAAATAATCCGATGGCTTTTCAGTAAAATCTCGATGATTTGAATGCAAATTTCCAACAAGTTTGGAAGCATTTCTTAATCCCATCTGGCAATGTTTCCAAACATACTGCACACATTGCCAGAGTTCACTGCCAGGAGCTACAGTAAAATTGCTTTTAAGGTCATTGTTGAAAAGCCCAGCAAGATTTACTTTTGTTAGTTTAGTTTTTACTGCACATTTTGAATCAATATAATTATTTTCCTTTGTTTCTTGTGAGTGTGAGACACCAGTACTTATCATATTTAATGTATTGTTATCCGTGTTCTTCTGAACAGTGTCCTTGCGTCTACTAAAAAAGATTAAAAGGTTTTTTTTTGGGGGGGGGGAGGAGAGGGGGGGGGGGCGACATTTTGAAATTTAACAAAAAGAGTAACTTGTTTTCCTAAATACCTTTCGCTTTACAGGTAATAATCATAAGACCGTAAAGTTACAGTAAAGGCGTACAGGGGTTGGGTTTGGCTTTACCATTCTGTGGACAGCTCTGGGCGTAAAAATCCACCCGCTATAAGGAAATTAAATCCGAAGCAAGAATAAATCATCCAACCAAGATAAAATGATGCTCTTCTTCTACACATTCACCCGCCTTTACTTCTTTGACACAACAAAGTCTCTAGAGTTGTCACCTGTAGTGTCTGTATCGTACATGTTATAAAAGGCGACCTAGAAGGGTTGGTAAGAAACTGGCCACTTTATGGCAGAGGTTAGCTGCATAATCTAAGTGTGAGCACGTTTTCACAGAGCTTGGCGTAAGCTGCGAAGCGGTCTTTGCTCTATTGGTGGTTGATTGAAGGAAGAGGAAAAGAAGAAGTATGAACAAAGCAAAAAAAAAAAACGAAGCAGAGGATGGAGAAGGAGGAAGCTGCGGTTTAGATAGCAACATACAGGATGACAGCGTGTTTAGACTAAAGGCCAATTTTCAACGGGCCGAATAGGATCAACTGTATAAACACAAGAAGCAGATTTCATGACTGCTAAAAATAAATCTAAACACGACATTGACAAGTTTTGTGTTACTATTTCAGCTGCGGTAATTTGCTCACAATGTAACGTGAGATTCCTGGGTGTGCGCAACGAATGTCACGATCCGAGAAACGTCTCAGATTGCGTCGGATGTATGAAGAGTGTGGCTAAAGTGAAGCTGCGAGACTCTGGTTACATCGATGGATGGGAGAAAAGTAAGTACGTTTTTTTTTTTTTTTTGCACAGACAAGTTCGTCAACGCATTGCATTTATAGGCGACCGGGTCCCCATTAGCTCTCCGGTAGACGACTTCGTCGCCTGTCGGGACAATATTTTGGTCTTTCTCCTTTTATCGCATTAACACTGCAAGAGTTCTTTTCATGACTTTAGGCGATGTGCAGTGCATAGCCATTTTATATGGAGCAAATAACCTGGTCACAATTATAACCTAAGTTTTCCCTTCGGGGCTGCTGGTTGAAGGTGACGAGCAACGCATCGGATCGGCCAGCGTGTTGAAAACATGAAGGTTCTCGGGGTGAGAGACAGCTAAGAATGCCTAAGACTTGTTTAAGTCGGTAATAATAATAACAATGTGCTGTGTAGCAAATAATGTGCCTGTATGAGTATGAATTGTGAACACAGATACTTCAAAAGATAAATTTTAGAAAAGGTTATAATGACGCTTAGTGCCAGTAACACATTTTCTAGGTGGTGGGGGGGGGGGGAGGGGCACTCATCGGCCCCCTTTCCGGGTGCCATTTTGTCGGGTTGAGGAGGGGCGACTGAACCCAGTCTCCAGCTACCATAATATGATAATACCTACGTATTTCAATGTTTTATTACTTGGGCTTACAGTAATCTAGGATTGTGTTTTTCAATCTGTTCACACCCCAGTGGACATTGCTTGGGTGACCCATCTAACAGCGAATCAAACACAGAAACAAAAATAAATGTAAATACTAGTTTGTTTGTTAAGTCCGATGTGACAAAATCAACATTCTTCGCTAATTCTGCTGCTACTTAGAGGTCAAACTTGGTATGGGCGTCGCAGGTCGAACCAGCCAAAAATGGATACGAGGATGGCTGTCATCGGTAAGTAAAGACGGCCGGCGTAATGCTGACCACATTACGTAGCTACTGCCGATTGGCCTGTAAAATATGGGATGCTGTTCCCAAATGCCCGATGCGCCTAAGGCGTGAAAAGGGATCTTTACTTTACTTTACTTTAGAGGTCAAACACAGATATATCTGGCCGAAGCGTTGTTTCTGGAAAAAAAACGCAGCCCTGTAGCAGCACTCATTCAATTTCTTCTTTCGGTTTTCATCTTACTGAGATGCCTGGGAAAGTCCTTTCGCAAGAATATGAAGTCATTGAGGTGTTAATCCCACAGACTGGACAAGAAAATCCACCTGCCCTACCTGATTACATAAAAATCAAACAAATAAAGGACCATTTCCCCGCCTTCAGGCGTATTGGGCACATAGGGCTAGACCTATATTTTTTAGACCAATCGGCACTCGATGGGTGATGTGATCAGCCTCACGCCGGCCACTTTACTTCCCAGGACTCCACCTGGTACGCACGCGAGGCTGACCGACCGGGAAGCTAAGGTAATTTTGTTTATAGAAAAGCCCGGTACACTGGTTACATGACTCACGGCCAACTGTATATCTTCTGGAGAAGGCGGTGCCTAACTAAGCATAATCTGTTATCGACCCACGTGAACTTTTCCGCGGCTCACCATTGGTCCGCCGCCCAGTCGATAAAGAACAGTCTAATCTTAGACCTGCAAAAGCAAAAAAAGAAGGGGGAATCTGAAGAATAAGAAAAGATAAACAGGGCGAATATGAATAGCCAGAAATATCCTCAAAGCATGAGAAAATTGCATGAAGAGTGATGAACAGATCATGGGAAATTGCCAATATTATGTTTTTCTACTTCTGCATCTTCTCATTCTTCTCCTCCTCCTCATTATTCTTTCATTGCTTTTTCTTCTTCTTCTTGTTCTTCTTGTTCTTGTTCTTCTTCTTCTTTTTCTTCTTGTTATTATTATTATTATTATTATTATTTTATTATGTATCTTTATCTGCTTCTTCTTCTTCTTCTATTTCTTCGTTTCCTTTTCTTCTTCTTCCTCTTCTTTTTCTTCTTCTTCTTCTTCTTTTTTTTTCTTCTTCTTCTTCTTCTTCTTCTTCTTCTTCTTCTTCTTCTTCTTCTTCTTCTTCTTCTCTTCTTCTTCTTCTTCTTCTTCTTCCCCTTCTGCTTCTTGTTCTTCTCGTCCTCTCCTTCTCCTTTTTCTTTTCCGTTTCCTCCTCTACTTCGTTGTAAACACCACCACCTGTTAATTTTTCTATATTGACAAAAAGGTAGACACTGTATATTTGGGTAACTACATGGAAAGATCCTTTCATTGACTGATTGAATGCAGTGTCTCAGAAATTCACATTGTCTTTTCCCCAGTTGCCACCGTGACTAGCCGTTTCTGCATTACTCCCGGGAACATCAACGTCAAACCGGCAGGTTGTTACAGACAACTCAACAACGGAGGTTATACGGAACGCTGCTACTGCTACAGCGACCACTGCAACTCTAGAGCTTCCCGGCTGCACCTGGGCCCCATCTCATCGCTACTCGTCTTCTTGCCCTTATCCACGTCGTCCTGGTCGGCAGCAGCCGCGCACGTACTTATATCAGTCTTCTACGTCTTGTGTGTTATAAATTAGAATAACAATTTGCCCGGATTGTCAAAAAAGAAACTTAGTGGTTGTGAAAAATGCCAAAAACCATACATCTTAAACAGACTGTACGTTGTTTACAGCCGAGCTACAAGAACCTCCATCTCCTGGGGGGAAAATGCTAGATTTCATCCACGGCCTTCTCTATTTATATACAGCAGGACGTGATTTCATCTTTCTGGAGTTTGTTTCGTATCTGTTGCTTAAAAAAAAAAGCACTTCCGGTGATGAAACATTAGTGTAAACATAAAAGATTTGAACTAAATCTGTGGCCGTTTAATTAAAACTTACTAAAATTGACGCTTAGCAAGAGGTGGACAAACAGCAGATAGTGTACAGACATGACAAAATTCTGAGCGCGTTAGAGATCCCTTGGAGCCAACATTTTTTGTGAAAGCGGCGCCTACTTGATCGATATTGCAATGGCATGAAGAGTTAAAATGTATGGAACTGGAGCGACGTGGCTTTGAGTTTTATTGTATCTTGCAATTCTTCGTTGGATACTAATAAAGGAGACTAACTACGTCTGGTAATGTCCAAAGTGCAGCGATTTAAAGTTCTTATCCAGCCATTCATTCATTTTTAAGCTGCAAATAATTTTTGAATTCTAATGGTGGACCAGACCACGTGTGGGAATGTCAGTCATTCATTCACGTTTTGCCTGCAGGAAAAAACTCACAAATCTTCTTCTATTGACACGTTTTCTTCGCAGTTTGATTGCCTGTCAGCGAATTAGTCATCTGCCACGCCTGCTATTGAATTCAACATAGTAATTTCATTTAACTTTCCTGTGCGTGTCCCCTTTAAAACAATAATGTAGGCATTAACCTACCGTGCCTTGTAAACAACTGCAGGCTATTTTGTTGGTACAACAATGCAACAGGAAAATCGGCTTGTGTTAATTCTAACAAAACCTACAGTCAGAGAAAAACTTTGAATACGCTTCGTGTTTATCTTACATTGGCTGGGTAATCACAGCTCTTGATGAAATGTTTAATTGTGGTTCTAAAAATTGCGCTGTAAATTAGTTTCTCTTGAATGTTGTCGTCAATGTGGAGAAACAGAAGGAACTTACACCACGAAAAACGAAACAATTAGATTTTACTGTCTGTTTCCTGTGTGATATCCCGAAACAACAGACATTACTGTCTACTGCAAGGATATCCTGAAACAGCAGACTTTCGTGACTGCATCAATGATTGTCAAATAACTGACTTGTAGGAAAACAAATTATGAAACAACATACTTTACAGTCTATTTACTGCACGGAAGTCCAAGAAGCACCACAATGTTAAGTCTGCTTATTGTAGAAATAATCATAAAACCGCGTCATTTACAGTCCACTTACTACCTAAAGGGTCGTGAAACAGCAGAAATTGAAAGACTATGTCCTGCGCCAAGATCTTTGAAACAACAAATGTGTTTATTGCACTGTGGTCCAATACAGAAAGTCGTTGAAAGTGTCATCTTTGTTCCACGAAGGAGATGACCTTAAGTGACGTGGATGCTGGCACCCATGGTAATTAGGTAACCACTGAAAAAAAGCATTGTTTACCTAAACAAATGTGCCGCCAATAATTGGTCCTCACAGAAGTGAAGAAATTAGTTTGAGGATTGTTTCTATAAAAGGAGTTTGCGTAAAACGCCAGCTGACGGAGGGAAAAAAAAAAGGGGGGGGGGGGGGGGGGCTATGTGTGTACATGTACATGGAAAAAATGCGGAGGAATTATTTCTGTAACCGGCGTAATAAAATGAGGTGACCGTTGTGGAATATGTCCGTACATGGAAAGAATAAGCCAGCTAGCTGATTAGTTTATTGCTGCTTTCCTTCAAGATCATTTGAGATCACCTCGTTAGATCTTTCTACCCAGGAACGTTATGTAACTAGGAAACTGTAAAGTGTTTCTGCCCAAGAACGTCATGTAACTAGGAAATTGTGGAGTGTTTCTGCCCAGCAACGTCATGTAACTAGGAAACTGTAGAGTGTTTCTGCCCAGGAACGTCGTGTAACTAGGAAACTGTAGAGTGTTTCTGCCCAGCAACGTCATGTAACTAGGAAACTGTAGAGTGTTTCTGCCCAGGAACGTCGTGTAACTAGGAAACTGTAGAGTGTTTCTACCCAGGAACGTCGTGTAACTAGGAAACTGTAGAGTGTTTCTACCCAGGAAGGTCGTTTAACTAGGAAACTGTAGAGTGTTTCTGCCCAGGAACGTCGTGTAACTAGGAAACTGTATAGTGTTTCTACCCAGGAAGGTCGTTTAACTAGGAAACTGTAGAGTGTTTCTACCCAAAAACGTCGTGTAACTAGAAAACTGTAGAGTGTTTCTACCCAGGAACGTCGTGTAACTAGAAAACTGTAGAGTGTTTCTGCCCAGGAACGTCGTGTAACTAGGAAACTGTAGAGTGTTTCTGCCCAGGAACGTCGTGTAACTAGGCAACTGTAGAGTGTTTCTACCCAGGAACGTCGTGTAACTAGGAAACTGTAGA